CAAGAGTCTGAGGTTGCTGTGAGGGTGACACAGTGAGACTCTGTCTCAAAAAAAAAAAAAAAAAAAAAGGACAAGACAATGGATTAGGAAGTAGATAAACCCAGATCTGAATCCCTAGAATTGAGAAGATGGGATCTGGAGTTAAATTATCTCAGTGAGGACACGACCACTGACTTCTTTGTCCGTGTGTAAAATGGTGATGGTTACTGCACCAATCTTCCAGGGCTATGAGGATTAAATAGGAAAATGCACGCAAAAATTTTAGCGTACTGCTTGGCACATAGTTCCCATGTTTCATTTAGTTTGCTTGGCTATAAAATATAAAACTGTACCTAACAGCTGACACAAGAATAAATGGATTATTAGTGCAGCACATTCAATGATGCTTTAATGGAAGCTGATAACAAAAACGAGACCAGTTGATTAGACGATCTCTGTCTTCTCCAGAACATTCTGTAGTTGTATTGTTTTCTTACAGTTTCATTTTTTATCAAATTCATACAAGCTAACAATCACACTTTAAAAAATTTACCAGGTTGGGACAAAGTTTAATGTTAAAAAGTACATTTAGAAAGAATAACACTGTTTTCTTTATACTTTTAATATAGCTGAATTCCAAGTAAAAAAAGAAATTTGTATTTTTCACCAAAATAAATTATTTTAGAATGTATGTGTTGGGAATGTTCTTTTAAATAGTCACAGTTTAGTAGAGAAAAGAGAAAGGAAAATGATCCCAACCCTAGTGCTTCACTATCGCCTGTTCTTTCCATCTTTCTAATCTTTGAAAACAATCTAATCATTAAAATGGTCAGTGAAAATTTTGTGTAACCTAATTACACGTATCCCCCTATTAACCCCAAATTTAAATGTATACATTCATACATATATATATGAGAGAGAAAAAAAGGAGAGAGAGACATAAAAGAATTAATAAAATCAAGTTACTGATCTCCACTACTACTTTCTCCTGGGCACTAGATAGAATTTTAAAATCTCCTCTACCCTTTTTTGGGAAGGGTATACGTGTGTGTGTGTGTGTGTGTGTGTGTGTGTGTGTGTTAGTAACCTCTTACTTCCTACTGGGAGCACCACAGTAATGCCAACCCTTGGATAAATTATTCTTCACATAAAAACTGTACAGTTGGGTCTTAAAGAAAGTAGATCCAGTTGGAATGGCCATTCCCACACTATTCACTGGCCTAGTTAATTCCTGTAACATCTGTTCCAGGAGCCTGGACTTTACTACACATATATTTGAAGGATTAACACAGTGCCTTCACCTCTCTAAAGCTGAAGTCTATGAATCTTCTAGGCAGAGCTGATCCAGAGATATTCTACTATTGACTCCACAGGAAAACTTTCTGTGTCCCAAATTGCACTCACATAGCCATAAAGTAAAGAGTCAACCACTCTGGGCCATGAGTAGAGTGGGAAGCCATTTTCCCGTAAATTTACATACAGTATTAGGCAAGCTACAGATTATAATACTGTGGCTGAAAGGTAACCAACTACCTAGAAGAACCTCTTTTCTTAAATAAGTAATCCTCAGCAGGGTCTACACTGAGAATAAGTATAAGCACCTCAAGGCACTGCTGGCAGGTCAACGAGGTTTGGGGACTAAAAAGCAACAAGTCACTTCTCTGACTTTTTTTTACTAAGGATATTAGATATAAGTAAAGAAGAAATGTGCTCAAAACAAAAAAAAAAAAAGAATTTTAGAGGCAGGACACAATTATAAGAAGGTCTTTATCTAATAAATGCAATCAATGTAACCTGGTTCTTCATACCCTTAAGGAATCTCCAACAATAATTTTTTTAAAAAAGCAATCAGAAAAAAAAGAAAAAGATGAAAAAGATTATAAAGCAACTTTGGCTCATTACCGTAAAACTAGGCCCAAGACCAGCCAATTTTTAAAGTATATCAAAGAGCAAAACAGAATTGACACAAACATAAATGTCAGCACTCACTTTTTGATTTCTCGGAGCAGCATTCGTATAAGAATGGTCTGAAGTGGTTCCACCATCAATTTCCTCCACATATCCAATGCTAGCTGCCGGGGCAAAAAAAAAATCATCAAGGCTGAATTACTCAGTATTTGTTTTTAAGAGGTGGTCACGGTTTTCTTTAAAGTAAAGATACTCGTCAACAGAAGAATTTATATCTAAGAATCTAAGTCTAAGTCTATCCTAAATCTAAGAATTTATATCAATATATTTTCATCAAAGTTTGGTGAAAATTTAAAATTTCAAAGGAAGCAAATTCTATTTTAAGATGACAACTCTAACAGGTTTGTAAAAGAACGGAATTAGGGTTTTATTATTAACTGAAAATCTTACAGAAACAACTGATTATTCTAAAACCTTGCATACTTGTTGTTAGATGCTCAACACTATGCATGGCCCTACAGATCCCAAGGCTGTAACAGAAGCAAAGGATTGGTTTTGAATGGAATGTGATTTGTTTGGCTGTTGGCTGATTTTTTTTAATTATAAGATATTAAACACCACTGTATTCACTATCCAACTTAAGAAATACAACTTCACCACTACTGTTGCCCGAAATGTCCTCTTTTCCCCTCAGGTTAACACTGTCCTGAATTTTACGTTAAACCATGCACATGCTTACAGTTCTACCAAATGTGTACACATCCCCCAATCACAGTTTCGAGCTGACCTTGATAACAAAATCCCATTGTATATTCTTCTGTGTATGGTTTTTTAAAATTAGACTTTGTCACTGAAACCCATCCACACTGAAACACACAGTGTATAGCTCCACAATGGGCAGGGCTACACAGAACCCTACCAATGAATACACCGTGAGTTATTTTTCCACTGATGATGACTGCTGATGTGTTGGTGATTCCAGTTTTCTGCTACAGAGAACAACGCTGCTGTTTTATCTACCTTCTGATCGTCTTCTAAGAGACAGTCCATTTGCCAATCATTACAACAAATCACACTGTACATATTTTTCTATGCATGATTTTTAAAAAAACATTTTTAAAGATTTAAACTTTTCCCCCCATATTTATTATTTTCCAAGGACAGATTTCTAGACATGAAATTATTTGGTTAAAAAGCGTTAAATATTTTGAAAGTGTGCTAAAAAACACTAGTTGTTTTCTTTCTAAAAAGATTATGCTAATTTAAATTTCTACTAATATTGAACCTTAGCTGTTTATTTCCTGCACTAATACTCATCACAATTTAATACTAGTTTATTTATTTGGCACGTGCCTCCCTTATCTGAACTTATACGCTTTCTGTGGACAAGGACATTCTGTTTACTGTTTCATCCTCAATATTCAGCTACTCCAAATGTTTTGAGTGAAAAAACAAATTTGTACAGGAATATTTCTTTCACAATCAGTACATGCATTAAATATTACAATTTCCAACTTTTAAATTTGCACTATACTCCCAAGAACCAGATGAATTACTTGAACAGCACATTTCAGTGTTTTACTCTGAATTACTTTTATTTTTTAAATAAAGTTCAATAAATCTGTAATGTCCATAAATTTGTTTCCTCTCTTCTAGCCTCTATGTCCTTGGCCTCTGCACTTTTTAATCATAAGAGTCAGCTGGTAATCCCAGAGCTCAGGAGGCTGAGGCAAGGAGACAATCACCTGAGCACAGGAATTTAGGGTTAACATTGAGTCTACGGTAAGGTGACCAGACGTCCCGCTTCTGGCGGGCCAGTCCTGGTTTTTAACAATCTGTCCCACATCCCTTGGTGTTTTAAAAAAGTCCCAATTTTTATAAAGAATGCATGACAAGCTAGGGAATGGCAGGAGAACGGGAAGGGAATATACAGTTTTTGGCTGCCATGTGGCTATTTCCCCAGGATGTGAGTTTTATATTATTTTTGTTAATTGTATAATGTTAAACTTTTTTTTTTTTTTTTT